TCCTATCTTTTTACTTTAAATTTGAATGTATTTAGAGAACATATATAAGAACTAGCACCAAGATACATGTTTTTTTGTATATGATATAATCTTTCTTAAAAAGTTGAAGTAGGATTTAAATAAAAGATTGAAGACTTGAAAACGAACTTTAGAAACGCATGGCTTTCGCCTAAGCAAAAGAAAGATAGAGTATATAAAATGTAAGTTTAACTAAAGGAGAAGTGTTTCTAACATAGATGTGAAAGTTGGAGAGCATATCATCCCACAAATAAAGCGATTTAAATATCTTGGGTGCGTAATACAAAATGGTGGAAAAATAGAAGGAGATATAAATCATAGCTGAAATGAAGGAGATTTCAGAGGTTTTACGTGACACAAAGGTACCGTTTAAGTTGAAGGAAAAATTTTATCGGACTGCAATTGTACGAGACAAGACGTTGGCCGATTAAAAATCAACACGAGAATAAAGTAAGTGTAATAAATAAAGATGTTGTGTTGGATGTATAGTAAGACTAAACATAATATAATTATAAATGACAATATTAGAGAGTGTTAGGGAAGACATCTATAATAAAAAAAATTGTGGAAAATAAACTTAAGTGATTTGGATATATAGAAAAAAGACATTCAGATTTTATGGTTAAAAAATCTGATGGAGTAAAACCAAACAACTAGAGGTAAAGATAGATTTAAAAAAAAACTATAAAAGAAATTAAAAAAATTTCGAAATTATCTATTTAAATATAAATATAATTTTAAATAGAACATTATAATGAAAATTGATGATGTAATAACATTTGTTGTTTTCGTGGTACTTTGATTCATTTTGGTGTTGGAATTAGATGTAGATGGATCGGTTTGTAATTTAATAGTAATTGTAAATAGATACCAGAAGTGCATTGTTATCAATATACATTACAATGATACTTATGAATAATTGTTACACCAAAACTCATTATTGGCCACAGATAAAAGTAAACTTAAAGTTAATTCCTCAGACATCAAATAACACTTGTTTGTCTGAACAATTTCTTCTTTTTTTCTCATATGAATGAAATCATACGTTGATAACAAAAGGAAAAAACAAATGGCTTCCTGGTAGAGGTAATAATCAAGTCAGAAAATGATTCTCCTCTATTCAAAAACTTTGCATTCCTTATCGGCCGGACTCTCCTCGCAGAAGTCCTCCAATGGATCTCCACTCCCAACTTTAGGGGTGCCTGGCCATTTGTTTGCTACAAGATGTGCCAAATCCACCACTCTTTGACTGAAATTACAAACATTGTAACTATCAATAACATGATCTATATTACAAGTACACAAAAAAAATGCATGAATGTTCTATTTGTATCTACTAGAATGGATAGTGGTCTAACCTGTAACCCCATTCATTGTCATACCAAGCAACCACCTTAACCATATCATCTCCCATGACCATAGTCAAGGAAGAGTCAATAGTTGTTGAAACATCGGAGCAGCGGAAATCAACAGACACGAGCGGAACATCACAGACATCCAATATACCTTTCATTGGCCCCTCAGCTGCCTTTCTGAATGCTGCATTGACATCTTCAGCTGAAATACCCTTCTTCGCAACATTCACCACAAGGTCAACAACTGAAACATTAGGTGTAGGCACACGCAGGGCGATTCCGTTGAGCTTTCCCTTGAGCTGTGGCAACACTAGAGATACAGCCTTGGCTGCTCCTGTGCTGGTGGGAACAATGTTCAGTGCTGCAGCCCTAGCTCTTCTCAAGTCCCTATGTGAAGCATCCAAAAGCCTCTGCACAAACACAACTCTTAGACTCCATTTCGCATATAGAGTTTTTGATTCAAACAAAGATGTTGCAGTTGATAATGTACCTGGTCTCCTGTGTAGGAATGTGTGGTTGTCATGGTTCCCTTAACGATTCCTGAAAATATAGACTAAAGTTAATTAATCGGCTTTGAACCATGAATCAAATATTGCGCTTAAGTAAGTATCTTTGCTTACCGAACTCTTCATCCAGGACCTTAGCAAAGGGAGCAAGACAGTTTGTGGTGCAAGAAGCATTACTGTGTACATTATATGAATAGTCAATCAAAACACAATCCTTCTCAATCTCAACATTCGTAACAAAGTTGACAACTTCAACATTAAAGCCTTACCTTATGATGTCGGCTACTTCATGGCCGTAGTCTTGTTCATTCACTCCAATAACATAAGTTGGAATATCAGCACCCTTTGCAGGAGCAGTGATGATAACTTTCTTGGCACCTGCTTGGAGGTGCTTGCCCGCGCCAGGGCCGTCCACAAACACTCCTGTTCCCTGAACAATAACGCATTCATTCATTTTAAAAGACCTGTCATTAATAAACAATGTCGCCAAATTTTCACTTGACTGGATACCAATATCAATGACTCAGATCGACTGTGACTATAGTTACTACATAGTTTCCAACGGAAGTGAATTCAAATTCCAATTTGCTACACACTATTTAAAATAACGTTGATTTTTAAGAAAAGAACCAATCATATGCGTGTATTTTCATTTTGTGGCCTATGATTGTTGATGTTTGAAATAAATCAAGTAGAAGGATTTTACCTCAATAACAATGTCAATTCCGAGTTCGGCCCAAGGAAGCTTAAGAGGATCTCTGCTAGAGACAACCTTGATGGGTTTACCATCAACTGTAATAGTCTCATTGTTTAGTATCTTCACTTCTGCTTTAAAAGTTCCAAGCATAGAATCATATTTCAACAAATGTGAAGCCTGAATATGTGAAACAAGAGAAACTAATGAGTCCATAGTAACAAAACAAACTCGGTCAATCCTTGAAAACTTACATTCTTGACACCTCCACTGTCATTGACAACAATGACTTCAAGTGGCGAGTCCTTTCGACCGTGCCAACATCGAAGGAAGTTTCTACCAATGCGTCCGAAGCCATTGATTGCTACCTTCAACTTAGCCACAGCCTCTCCCCTCACAGCAGTTGATCCAGTTCTCTGATCATAGTTTCAAAAATCATAAGCAAATTGAATTTATTTAGCTCCAATACAGTAATCAAATATGTCCCTTACTTATTAAAGACATGTTCGGTGTCTAATACATGTTAGTGTCTGATAGTGACACATGTGGTTACATGCGATTATTTCATTTTCTTAAATTATTATCAATGTCAATGTCTTAGTGTAGCATTCGGTGTCAGTAACAATGATCAGCTAATAGATTTATGTGACAGATAAAAGAAAGAATGAATCTCTCATGATCCAATGAGATATATAAAAGTTGTGAGTAGAAACTAACCTTGGAAGAGAGTTGAGCAGCTACAACATCATAAAAAGAAGACTCTCTAGCATTAAGAGCATAGGTAATACATGAAGTTGATTTTACTCCAGAGAATTCAGGTACCTCAAGTCTCTGCAGAAGCAAAGTTAAGTTAAGTATAAGCACTTTTGCTAAAGTAGTACATACAAATCAACCATGAATTGAAGGATAGAATTATAGAGAGAGTGAAACCTTAGAGGCACATTGAGTTGGGAAAGAGTGAGAGGTCTTAGATGGAAACCTTGTGTTTGTTGGGATTCTTGTAGAAGCTAAAGCAGCATGAGTAGCCATAGCTAAAGCTGCAAGCAAGTTTAAACAAGAAGTCCTTGGTGAGTGTTTATATTCAGAATGAAAATTATGGTTGATGAATGAGTGGTTAATATGTTTCTTTTTAGAGATTTTTATGAAGTTGGTTGACAAAAAGAAAATAATGGTTGCTAGGAAGTAATGGAATGAGTGGTGAATATGTTGTAAGAATATCTATAAGATAAGATAATGTTTGGTCATCCAAGTATTTTGATCATTGGATTTATAGTCACATAAAACAGTGAAAGATGTGATGAGTTAGTTGGATAATATTGATTTGGTTTGTTTTTAAATCGGTAATATAAGTGAAAATGTTTAATAACTTAATCTTAGATAAATAATTCATTTCAGTATTGGTTAGGTTGGTCACTTGGAGTGTTAAAATTATGAATAGTCGGTTCCAAGTCTGGAGATGTATTGACAACCAACATAAAATTTTGTCGAATCTCTACAACATGCTATCAAAATAACGATTAAATTCTCATATTATACCATATGTTTTAAATTTTGTTCATATATTTAACCACTTAATATCAATTATTTTTATCCAATAGACTGATGGTTAGAATTTCACTCGTTAAAAGATAAATAAGTGAAATATCACAAATCAATTTCACAAATATTAATTCACTTTTAACCCAAAACAAATTTATATAATCAATTCATTCAAAATCAATTTTCTTTATCTCATAACCAAACACAGGTAGCCACACACGCTTAGTAAGATGGAGCACCGCAAAACACCATTAAATATTTGTGGAAAGATTTTGTAAAGTTTATTTTGAAGTTTTTGAAAACCCGAACCAAGTATAAATTTCATCTGCTCTCAAATATATAATACATGAAAACTCATGATACATTTGTCTCTCTTTAAAAATGGATGATATCATCAATTATTATAGATTGCAAAGAGATGCTCTAAAAATCATTTTCAGAAACTTATGCATTATCATACATGAAGACTGAACAGTGAACAGAGTTATTAGCAACATAACATACATAGGACAAACATCATAAAATATCAATACATAGTTATCATCTATTCCATGTTTGCAGTAAAAGTGACAACATCCTAATATGGAGAATCCAAAGTAACATTGTTCACCCTTCTAAGCAATTGGATACCTGATTATTCATACGATACAAACCATAAAACAGTTAACTAAGAGTTATTTCCATATTCTTTCACTAAAAAGGACAGATAGAAACAGGACACAAGAAGCCTCTAATTGAAATGACAAATTTACCTAGTAGAGGCTGCCATCAACTTAGTTTATTACTATATGATGAAGAAATGGAAAGATATTACAAGTTCGAAATGGATTTTGTACCAACGATATTTTCGGCAAACAGTGTAACAGACAACATCAAAGCAACAGTCTCTCATTTGGCAGCTTCAACTTCACCAGATTTCACGGCTACCCCATTTGGGGTGTCCCCTGACCGAAGCTGGGAAGAAATTTCATCTATAGCAGAGTTCAATTGTTCAATCTTATTAGCCAATACTTTCCTTGTTTTCTGCAAATCAAGCAAAGCAAATTGTGAGCCATCGAAGGTATACGTAAACCAACAAGTTGAAGCGAGAAGAATAAATGTAGAGTAAGGGCCTGCCATGACCAATTCCTTTCTGAATATTAGGACCAGTTCCAAGTAAACTTTTGTGACAGAATGGAGGGTGAAAACTGGATGCCTCCAGGAAATTGATTTGAGCATAAAAATCATTATCGAGCAAAATGAGACAGCTAACGAAATTCTCAGAATTTGGGTTAGACCTAATTCATCCCTACAAAACCGGCTTGTAAGGTGAGGATTGCCCCCACTTATAAACACAACAGGCCATATCTCTAAGCAATGTGGCACTAAATCCACCCCTCAAACCCAACACAATGAAGGTGTTGGGGGCTGCAACAAAGGCAAGCCAAATGCCGCAATTAAGGCGGAAATTCCAACAGAGAACAATCACGGCAACGTCCCTTTATCAGATAAACCTGAATGTTTATAACAATAGCAAACACTGCTTACCTCTAAAGCCTTTTCTTCATCATATATAAACTTTGGCAGTTTTCTCATTAACTCCCTCCTGTCAGGTCCAGTTATAGCATTGCTGATCTATAAAAGAGTAAAAGAGCAAATAACATATTCAAGTTCAAGCAATAAGTGAAATCCTGATTTGCATTTGCAGTACATAGCTTTTCTTCAAGAAAGTTATTAAGCAGATTCTGTTATATTAAAGATTTTAAAGATATGTAATGTAAAGATCTTACAATTGCGCTGCATACTCTGTTGACGGTTCAAGTAAGAGGCATTAACAAATTGAATTTCCTTATATAGACATAAATGACTATACTAAAGAGAATAAACATATTCAAAGTATAATACAATAACAAATACTACCTGAGGTGCATACACGCAACCAAGAGTTCCAACGATTAATCCTCCCAAGATAAAGCCGCCAACAAAGATGCCAGCACTGTTGGGCCTTCCACCATCACTGTTATATTTCTATCGAAATCGTTAATCTCAAGGTCTTTCTTAATAAAATACTAAAGATATGATCGTTTTTTGCAACCAAGCAATAGAGTATAATGTGAGGAAGACAAATTAAGTAGAAAAAAGATGCAATAAGAAAATAACAGCAATACCTATAAGCAGCTTGAACAATTAGGGGCTTTGTAGTTGAAGAAAGGTGCATTCTGCGTTGAGGAAGGGAGAAAGTGGATGGTTTGATCTTGAGAATGGAGTGATCCATCTTGTTTTTGGATACTGCAAGCCAAGCATCAAGATAAGTTAGAAAACAAGAAAAAATTGGTTACAGAATAAAATAAAAAAGAGATTAGTATATAAATTATGGTGGTAATCAATGGGTGAATCAAAGAAAACCTAACTGAAATAATAAAGATAAAGAGAGATAGAGATTGATAGATTAGTACCACCGGAATTGGTTAGGAGGAAAGAAGATGACACGGCGGCGGTGGCGGAAGCCATGGTGAGACAAGAGATGAGATTTGTTGTTGTTGCCTCGGAGAGGAGAAGAAGAAGAAATAGTGTTGAAATGGATCGATGATATCTAAGAAAAGGAGAAGCTGTACCTAATTTTAATGCAAATTAATTTAACTTCGTTTTTTTCACTAATACTTACCACTTTCTTCTCACATATCCAGATCGGATATGCTACCAACCACTAATATTAATTAATTAATCTACTACTATTCACTTCTCTTTCTAATTAGGAATAATTAATTTATCAAATTATAACTATTAAATAGGCCGTTTTCTTTATTTAATGTTGGTAAATTTCGTTTGCTCACATTTGTTTTATTTTTATAAAAAGGGATATATTCGTTGTGTAAATTTATTTTATACTATTTACAAGTATGTATTTTATTAAGTCTGATTATACTTTTTAAATTATTGATATAATATGGTTGAACGATATGTTTTTAATCTTACTGATTATTAGAATATGTAATGGATCAATATCTGCGTCTGAAATGCTGAAATCAAGGGAGGGTGTACCTGCAAGGCACTTTGATGTTCAAATAAGTAAGAGTGCATAAAGATACAAGAGACAAGAGACAAGATAGGGTTTGAGGATTAAATATCTGACGCGCTTGGCCATTGGTTCCTATTTTCGGGCATGGATATCAGGCCCAAGAAAATAGGTAACTGTCAGGATTTCTGCGTGAAAGCAGGAACAAGCAACTCGTGTCCGTTACCTTGGGGAGAGGTGTCTGAAACTACTCGTTATTGCGGATAAAGATCCCCAGAACTAGTCGTTATCGGGGGCAGAGACGTGGTCGAGGGCGGTCGTGGTCTCGTTAAGCCACGCGACCACAGTTGTCGGGCAAAAGGGAAATGTGCCCTTTGCTAGCCCTAGACTGATTGGGTCAACGCTTTTGGGCCGTCCTGGAGCAGGAGCGGATTGGGTTATGCCTAGTTGTTTGCCTAGTCCAGAACATGAGTCCCCAAGTCGTTGCTTTTTGGCATATGAGTAATGACTTGAGACCATCTCGTGTGTCGAGGAGGAAAATTCTTTGTTCACATTCGTTGATTGAAAGACGGGGAAGCTTCGCGCCAAGATCCTGGTCGGTTTGAGCCAATGGGGAGCGTTTAGTTTTGCTCGTGGTTTTCCAAGCTGCTCGTGGACCCATTGTGTGGTTTCCTCGAGGTCGTGTTCGTGCGAGAAACACAAGTCGTCTTTTGTGTTCGACGCACGGGGAGTCGAACGGATGGCAGAATTTGAAAGGGGCGGTGCGTCATGTAACACCCCTTCTAAATAACCCACGAATATATTAATTAAATCAGAGTAACATGGAAAACAGGGATGTCACAATCCAAGATAAATATAAAAACCTCAAATCTACAGTCATCATGCTTTACTGAAGGAATTATTAAGATAAATATTCAAATCAATATCATGTTCTACACAGCGGAAATGTCTCAAAACCGGAATAACTTCACTTCATAAGTATTCCCAACATAAATTAAACAATAGAGTATAAAATAAAACTCATCATTCAAACATTTCCCCCAGTGTTACAACCTATCAGAGCACGACACTGACACGCGGACTTAAAGTAACATAGCTCTAGAGCCATCCTCACCAACTCCTGAGCTGCTAACTTTAATCTGAAATTGTTAAAGTAAGGGTGAGATTTCTCATAATTAACATGCATTATAAGCTTCTCAATCAACATTATATCACAAGCATATTATTTCACCCATTTTAGCATAAAATTCAGGTTCAACACGCAGTTCCAATCATACAAGTCATTATGCACAAATCAATAATCAACCAAAGAATTGTAACACTGGAAGACATCCTAACATGTTACAATTCCATGCAAACACAAATGCAGACACAATGCATGTGGTACCAACACGTGACCAAGTCACCCAACACTGATCCATCATCAACCAGATACAGCAACCATTGATTCGTCCATAAACATCCGGACACGAATCCAGCCTAACCACCCATCATCACCCGGGTATCGGTTAACGGCAATACAAGTCAAATTCCACACAATGGGAATTAACTTCACCAAAACAATGCATATGCACGCACATCACCAGCATGCAACATCAAATCAGTCTATGAAATACATCAATTTATCATAACTGAACCAAACCAAAAAAACATGATATCATTATTTATCATACACACATCAAACAGCATAAACATGCACTTCATCCACCAAGACCTGATACAATCAATTATCATGGATACACCATTGCATATACACCAAATATGCACATAATAACAAACCCCATAATCGGAAAGTCAACACATTTTCAAAATAAAATCAAGTTACAGTTATTTTCTTCATTTTATAAAATAGAGTATTTAATTTAAGAAACAACGTCCAAAATGGCGACTAAAATGGAATTACGGTTTGAAAGTTACGGATTTTTAAAGTTTAATATTTTTCAAAAAGTTACAGCAGAACCCGGTTCCTACATATGCAGGAACCGGTTCCTGCGAAGTTCAAAAATCATCCTTCTGGAAAATGTATGGGAACCCGGTTCCTACCTATACAGGAACCGGTTCCTACGTGCAATTTTGCCAGTTTTTATAACTTCGCACAGTGGAACCTGGTTCCTCCCCACTGGGAACCGGTTCCCACGACCTGCAGAGCCTAAAACTGCTATTTTTGACAGCATTATGTATCTCAATCCATTCCTTTTCATTCCCATACGAATCCAACTCACAGCAATGTCAAAATAAGTTATAATGCATGATTCCAATGAGATTGTAACACACCAAAACATCATATAATTTCCTCATAATATCAAATTGAATCAAAACATAAAAATTCATGGAATTGGGGTTTGAATTTCATAAACCTAACGATCCTAAATTGGGATTCCTAACAGGCTTAATCAATCCTATTGATTCCAAAACCTATAAGGCATATTAACTAAATGAAATCACCCATTACCTCGCGATGATCCTTCGAATTCACGGCGTTTGGCTTTTTCCTCTCTTCTCTTCTCCAATTTCACATATAATGACTTTTCCAAATAACCTTCTTTTTCTTTTCCTTTTTATCCTCTTTTTATATTCCTTTTATTATTTTCTAAATAATAGTAATAAATTAGTTATTATTTAGTAGAGCTTTTTACTTCACACACCTCTAATTCAACCTTACACCCCCCCGGTCTTCCTTTTTAATTTCATAATTAATTCATCCATTTAATCCAAAATATTATTAATTAAGCCTTTAATTAATTTAATAATTAAATTCCTAATTATTTAACACTTGAATAAATTTGGAGTGTCACAACTCTCCCTAACTAAAAGAGTTTTCGTCCTCGAAAACATACCTTAGACGAACAATTCGGGATACGAGTCCTTCATCTGGCTCTCCAGCTCCCAAGTGACATTTCCATCTGATGGTCCTCCCCAAGCCACTCTTACCAACGCGATCTCCTTGCCTCGCAACTGTTTCAACTTCCGATCCTCAATTCTCGCAGGTACCGCTTCCACAGTCAAATTCTCTCGTACCTGTATATCGTCTACCCGAATCTCATGAGACGGATCAGCAATGTACTTCCTTAGCTGAGATACATGAAAAACATCATGCAAATTTGCAAGTGACGGCGACAAAGCAATCTGATAAGAAACTTTCTCAACTCTCTTGGTAATCTGAAATGGACCAATAAAACGTGGAGTCAACTTCTTTGACTTCAAAGCTCGACCAATACCAATCATCGGAGTAACTCGCATAAAAACATGTTCTCCTTCGCTAAACTCAAGATCTTTCCTCCTCTTATCGTGATAACTTTTCTGACGACTCTGAGAAGTCCTCATCTTCTCCTGAATCATCTTAATCTTTTCGGAAGTCTGTTAGACAATTTCCGGTCCAATCACATCACTCTCTCCAGATTCATACCAACACAACGGTGTCCGATACCTCCTACCATACAATGCCTCAAACGGAGCCATACCAATGCTCGAATGAAAACTATTGTTGTAGGTAAACTCAATCAATGGTAGATAACTATCCCAAGCTCCACCTTTCTCCAACACACAAGCTCTTAACAAATCTTCCAACGACTGAATCGTTCTCTCCGTCTGACCATCTGTCTGTGGATGATAAGCAGAACTCAAACGCAACTTAGTACCCAAAGCTTCTTGCAATCCCGTCCAGAATTTAGATGTAAACCTCGGATCTCGATCCGACACAATACTAGAAGGAATACCGTGCAAACTCACAATCTTCTCAACATACAATTCTGCCAACCTTTCCATCGGATAATCCATTCTTATCGGAATAAAGTGAGCAGATTTCGTCAACCGATCAACAATAACCCAGATAGAATCACAATTCTTCGATGTCCTTGGCAAACCAGACACAAAATTCATAGAGATTCCATCCCATTTCCATTCCGGAACAAACAACGGTTCCATCAATCCTGACGGTTTCTGATGCTCAATCTTCGACTTCTGACAAACCAAACAAGCATACACAAACTCAGTAATTTCCTTTTTCATTCCCGGCCACCAAAACAACTTCTTCAAATCATGGTACATTTTAGTAGCACCAGGATGAATACTCAATCCACTACGATGTCCTTCTTACAAAATACTCTTCCTAATCTCTGCAACATCCGGAACACACACCCTATTACCAAATCTCATAACACCATTCTCATCAATCTGGAACTCTCCTCTTTGACCTTGGTTGATCAATGTCAATTTATCAACTAACCCAACATCGGACTTCTGTCCATTCCGAATTTCTTCCAGAATACCACTAGTCAGTTTCAACATACCCAATTTCACACTATTCGGAGTAGTTTCACATACCAAACTTAAATCTTTGAACTACTCAACCAAATCTAACTCACGAACCATTAACATCGACATATGCAAGGACTTCCTACTCAAGGCATCCGCAACAACATTTGCCTTACCAGGATGGTAATTCAAACCGAAATCATAATCCTTTAGAAATTCTAACCATCTCCTCTGCCTCATA